GCTGGTGAGCTTGAACCACCAATCTTGCAGTTCAAACAACTTTGCAGTCTGATGCATTAGCCCACAGCGCCACACCAGGACTCCCATTTCCTATGGGTAGTCACCAATATACTATGGGTAGTCACTAATGCTCTATGTGTAGTCACCAATACAGGATCGTAGTCACCAAAGCTCTATGGGTAATCACTGGTGCCATGTGGGTAGTCACTGTTGCAGTATGGGTAGACACTGGGGCAGTATGGATAGACACTGGGGCAGTATGGGTAGACACTGGGGCAGGATGGGTAGTCACTGGTGCAGCGGGATGAGAATCCTCAAGCATCACCATGTGGTTCTCTCTCATCCCTAGAAAGGCACCAGAAGCTGCCCAGTATACACCCACCTATGAATGCTGGGACCATGGCTGCCATCATCATTGGCTCTCTCGCTGCTGGAGCCCTCCTCATGGGCAGCCTTGCCTATCTCCTGGTGAGAAGTTGGAAGGGACAAAACCACAGGTATGGGAGCCCCAGCCTCTCTCTCCTTCTCCTCACCCTCCCAGCTTGGTCTCCATGAATTCTCCCACAAGTGTGTATAAATTTGTCATCTGATTCATACACAATCTTCAAATCTTGGGATCCCTGCAGTGAAAAGAATGGTTCCATCCTGTCTTAGACTTCTGCATGACATGGGACAGATGTTGTTGTTGTTACGTGCCGTCGAGTCGGTTCCCACCCATAGCGACCCTGTACAGGGTTTCCGAGGGTGTAAATCCTTACGGGAGTAGAAAGCCTCATCTTTCTCCCGCGGAGCAGCTGGTAGTTTCGAACCGCTGACCTTTAGGTTCGCAGCCCGATTCGTAACCACTACGCTACCAGAGCTCCTTGACATGGGACAGATACCCTAGCCTTAAACTGGCTTACCAAAAACCAGGCCATTTTTATTGTTGCTCTTCTTCATAACTGATTAGCTTCAGGTGTGGTTGGATCCAAGGGTTCAATTTGGTCAAGAAATCCCTCTATATCCAAGGGGACTTCAAAAAGTTCATGGGAAAAGGTCATTATCTTTTAGTCCCATTTCCCTACAAACTCTGAAGCTCCCTTGTACTTCTCCTCTCTGCTTTTCTTAGTGGCAGCTTCATTCTCGAACAGGTTCTGTCCTTGTGGTGTGAAAAGATACTTCTAGTGACTCGAGGTTTATATTCCTCCAGCTTTGTCACCTCAGAGGACAAACAATTTACAGACAAAGACAAACACTGCCACCAAGTTGATTCCAAGTCACAGTGACCCTATAGAAAATAATAGAATGACTCCATACGGTTTCCTGTGTGGTGCTGTGGATCAGCACTGGACTGTGAACCACAAGGTCGGTGGTTCAAACCCACCAGCTGCTCCTCGGAAACCCTATATAGGGTGGCTATGAGTTGGAACTGACTCCACGGCACTTAACAATATATCAAAAACAACAATGATATATTTATAAAGGAACTGAGGCACATGATGAAAAAATATTCCTTTTCTTTTTCTTTCTCCATCATTCTGATTATTGCAAAGCAGTCCAAACAGGTTTTAGCAACCTTTAAACCCCCAAAACAATAACAACACTCTTATCAAGTCAGTTCCACTCATAGCGAGCCTATAGAATAGGGTAGAACTGTCCCACAGGGTTTCCGAACCTGTAAACCTTTACAGAAGCAGGCTGACACATTTTTT